GCTGTCCGCCAGGTCTTCCCGACAACTCCCGCCCCCGCGATGCTCCGCCACGCCGTCCGAGTACGGCCGGTCACGCGGCGACCGGTCAGCTCGCGCGGCCGAGGCGCGCGTGGAGAAGGCGGGCGGGCGCAGAGGCTCCGCGTCGTAACGGAACGAGGAAAGGCCGGGGTGCGCTGGAAAAGAGCAGCGGGCGGCACACTTCCTCACCCTCCAAAGTTCGGGCGGCGAGACAGGAAGGGCAAGTGGGACGGGCACCTGACTTGCTCTGTTTCCGGATGGTTTTGGTGGTCGACTTGGTTGGCCGCCGACTGGCTACTGGGACTCCGGGGGCCGCAGCTTACGACCGGCTCCAAGTGGGACTGAAGAAAGAAAACCAACGCTAACGCCAGCGCGCGCGATTAAGGCAGTGCAGTCTGTTAGCGCGCGCGCGCAAAACTTACAGCGAAGATGTCCTTCACGTGCGTGACGGCTTGTCTGTAATTGCGGAGCCGCGTCTCGACCGTGTGCGTTTGTCGGCGCGTCAGCGTGGCCGAGAGCGCCTGGGCAGGGGGCGGAGCCTGCGCAGCGGGAGAAGCCTCCTCGGATGACGAAGCCAGCAGCGTGGATAGCCCCGCCTCCGTGAGCCACGCCTCCTCCGGCCGCAGCTCTGCACCGCAATTGCATTTGACCATTTGTTTTCCGGGTCACGCAGAGAATCCTTGACTTGGGAGCGCCTCTCGTTTGGGGCAAGCTCGCATGTTTCTGGATTGGATGCAACCCAAACGTGCGAGGGTGACGTGCAAGCCGTGGCAAACTTCTGTCTTACCATCTATACTTTGCCTCTCCTCCTCCTCCTCCTCCTCTTGCTCTTGCTCCTCCCCCATGCTCTCCAGCTCTTGCCAGTATGTTTCCATGGCGATGTGCTGAGAGTCAGCTGTCACTGTCTGATCAGTTGATGAGGATGACATCTTTCTGTAGGCCAGCAATCAAAGACAAGTTTTTCTGCACGGGGATGATGTGGTGGAGCACTCGGAGAACTGGTCAGCCGTTTGCTCCGGACGGGATACGTTCCACTGGCCACGGATGCGCTCTGTATGATGCGCTCCCATTCAAAGGAAGTCAGACACATCCGGTGTATGCATTGATCTCGGAGTGTGTGTGTGTGTGCGCGCGTGTGTGCATCTCGTCTCCATTAGGAGGAAATGCATCTTGGCGGCCAATCAGATGGAAGAGATTTCACTTTGGTCCTCAGACCGCAAAGAAGACCTTGCTCCTCCATTGGTGCAGTATTTCACGTTTGCGAGCACAGAAACATGAAGGGGATTTTGTGATCGTTTGACACGCGTTTATTTGACCGTGGATTGTAATTGACAAGAAGTAGTCAGAAACAACGTTATCATTGTTGATTGTTGACTAAACTCCCTTGAACAGCTCTTCTTCATTGCCGCTAAATGACATAGCTTGATCGCGCTAACAACAGGATGTCGCTGCGCTAATTATAGTGCTTGTTGGATGCGCACAAGAGTGCAAAGAGAAAGCAACTCACCTCCATGTGGTGCTGCGCTGCCGTTGGGCAGGAGCGGCGAGGGAAGGCGGCGAAGGGCTCGAGGATGCGAGCGGGAGCGGCCTGGAGCACACGTGCAGTTGTCGCTCTTCCGCTTTGGATCGACGTCAGATGACGATCGCTCCCTTTCCAACATGTAGCGGCGACCAGGTGTGCTGTTGGAATGTGGAGCGAGTATGCAGTCGGCGGGCCCCTACGCATACTCCGAGGTACTGATGAGCACAACTGTCAATAGACAACTTGTGAAATTCTTTTTGGAGGGTCTGACAATAAATGCCAACTGGGGAGATGGCACATATGTCACATTCAACACGATGCAGTCAAGGTACTTTTCACGTCGCAAACTTGCAAACACAGCACGCCGTTTGGCCCATTGGTCGTTTTTCTTCCATTAGAGTGTATTTAAGGCGGTGAGATTGATTCATTGCCCAGGCCTGCAGTCCTATGCAGATAATGAGTTCCTGGGTGAACAGCGATCCCCAAAACACGATTCACTCGCTCCCCTCATCACTTTCAAGGCATTTTTAGAGGACTTCTTTTGTTGTCGTTGTCAACTAGGACTTAAAAAATTCCATCTAGTGATTAGTTGGTGGGCTTGGAGTGAAAAATTCCCCACAGCACCTGAGAGCATGTAGCTTAGCACCTGGAGCAAGGCCTTTTGGTGTTCAATTTTCAACATTTTTGCCTGCGCGCCCACTCAAAATGCTTTTCGTAAAATACGTTTCGGACTTAGATTAATTGACTGAAATATTATGAAGACGAGAAGTCCATATGTCCTCTCGTACGTAAACGAAAACTCTATTTCCCTTTGGCTTTGGGACGCCCGCTCCAGCTGTGCAAGTCGTCTGTCTGACGATCTGCACGGAGCATGCGCAGTGGTCAGCTCGAGCAGCGTTTCCGTGTTGTTTGTGTGAAGCGGCTGACGGCGGCGGATTTCGACAAGGGTGGGTGTTGTTGTTGTTGTTGTTGTCGTTTTGTCTCCCGCAAGTCGCCGTCCGCTCCCGCGGCTCCCCTCTGCAGGTGTCCGCCGTGTCGGAAGCCCCTCGGCAAGCTTCCCGAGCGGACGGCCGGGCAGAACTTTGGCGGCTTGGGGGTCGCGGAACGAGCCGACTTTGGCAAAGTCGGCGACGACGCAGCTCGCGCTACCGCTCACACTTTCGCAATAAAGGTCGACATGATCGGCGATGGCGTCCAATCAATTGAGGCTCGTTGGATTTGGCAGCCGCTCTTCGCGTGCTCTTTCCCTCGTAATACTCAAAGGAATGATTCGATGAACACAAGCGAGTAATATGCCGTACAAACTGAAGGGCTATTTAGGGAAGTCTTTTTTTCTTTCAAACTTGCAAAGCTCCAGGAAGTGAAGGTGTAATTTTAAGAGTAGCGCGTGACCCGCGTGCGAACGTTCTCCGACTCCTCTGAACCGTGAAGCTACTTTATTTTGAAAGGACGTCGATTGGAATTTCCTCTTCGGTTTCGTTGCCGTCGAAGCCAAGACCAAGTTCGGCAGAGTGTTTAGTTCAGTCGTTCAACGTTGATTCCTTTGGATGAATACTTTCCAAACGGTTGTTTCGTGTTTGAAATTAACCCGAACACACACGACCGGTTTGTCACGTTTGAAATCAAAACGCTTAACGCGCGCGCGTGTGTGTGCGTGTGTTTGTGCGCGTGCGTGTTGGCATATAAATGCATGTGCACTAAAGAGGATGAAGAACAAGCAAAGCAGCGCTCCAGGCAAGTGAAAAACACACACACACACACTCACGCGCGCGCACATTTGAGTCTGTAAAAGTTTGACGTGCGTGCGCGCGTGTTTTTAGTGAGTGGGAGGAGACGTTTGTGGTCATGGCAATCCTACCTGAACCAGCAGAATGCTGAAGCTGCCCCGCTGGCGCTCTTCACCCGGGTGAGGAGCGCGCACACCCAAAGGCGGGCGGGCAGGCGGGCAAAATGGCAGGCGCGAGGGTGACGGCTGTCTGTCGTCATGTCAGTCTCAGGGATTTCCCACAAGGAGAAGCGCTTTTAAAGTTGGCATGAAGCTTGAGGGAATCGACCCGTTGCATCCAAACATGTTCTGCGTGATGACTGTCGCTGAGGTAACGACACACACACACACACACGGACGGACGCTCACGCCGCGTCCGCAAATAAGATGCAAGCGACGTAACGGCGAGCTGCGACCGCTCGGCGCCGCGATGTCATTTTCGGTCGACGGCGAGCGGCCCGCAGGCCGCCCCCAGCGACGCGCCGCTTCATTTGTACTCGGCGAACGCGCGAATCGTCCACCGCCGCGTTTAGACCGCTGGGGGCGCGCACATCTTGTCGTCGACAAGTTTTTGGTTTGGACTTCTTCCTTCTCCCATGTCAAACGTGCGCCGGCAGGTGATCGGCTGTCGTCTGCGCGTGCACTTTGACGGCTACTCGGAGTGCCACGATTTCTGGCTCAACAGCGACTCGGCCGACATCCGCCCGGCGGGCTGGTGTCGCGCCAACCGACGAGGGCTCCACCCGCCCAAAGGTGAAGGCCGCAGCCCCGCCCCCTCGACGCGTCACATCTGAGCCATCGCGTGACTTTTCTCAAATCGTCGCCCTCAAGGGTGCAGCGAGGAGGACTTTGATTGGTCGCGGTATCTGCAGTCCACCGGAGCTCAGGCCGCACCCCCGAGCCTCTTCGCTAGTCGCGCGGCCGTCAGTACGCCGCCCGTCGGCCTGCTCGCCCGTCCGCGGCGGCGCACGCGCTCACCTGTCTGCCTTTCTGCGGTCAGTCGTGCGGCTTCCAAGTCGGCATGAAGTTGGAGGCGGTGGATAGGAAAAACCCGGGCCTGGTCTGCGTGGCGTCTGTGGCCGACGTCGTGGACGATCGCATCCTGGTGCATTTTGACAACTGGGACCGCTCGTACGACTACTGGTGAGTTCCCCGTCGCCGATCGGTCGGTCCGTTTGACGGAGCGGTCGACGCCTCAGGTGCGAGAGCGGCAGTCCTTTGATTCATCCCGTCGGCTGGTGCGAAGAACACGGACGACCTTTGACCGCGCCCCACGGTATGGCGCCGCGCCGCTCGGGTCGAGGACCACTCGATCGATCCGTCGCTACCGATCAATGTCGCCTTCAGCTCACCCCGACCCTGAGAACTTCACCTGGGAGGAGTACCTGCGAGAGAGCGCTTGCAAAGCGGCTCCCGGGTCAGCTTTCGCGACGGTAAGCAAAGCGGGAAGCCACGAGAGGAAACGACATCGCCGGCGAGCCGCGCCCGGTCGGCAAAACGTGACGAGCGGCCTTGGGTCCAATCAGAGCGCGCCGCGCGGTTTTCGGATCGACCAGAGGCTGGAGGCGGTTGATAAGAGGAACCCCGTGCTGATTCGAGTCGCCACCATAACGGCAACGGAAGACTACAGAGTCAAGGTAGCGCGGCCGTACCCGCCGGACGTCCGAGCGTCCGCACGCACGCCGGCTAAGAGGGCGTCGCATTGCGTGCGTGCGTGCGTAGGTGCACTATGACGGCTGGTCTCATCACTTCGACGTGTGGTGCGACGGCGACCTCGCCGACCTGCATCCGGTCGGCTGGTGTCAGCGCACGGGTCATCCGCTGGAGGCGCCGCCAGGTCAGCCGGTCCGCGGCCCGCTCCGCTTCGTCCCCGTCGGCCCGCATTAACGTCGGCGTGCGTGCAGAGTGGTGCGGCTCCCCCTCCCGCTCTCAGGATGCGTGTCCCACATCGGGCTGCCGAGGAGCGGGACACATCAAAGGACCCAAATACGGCGGACACCACAGGTACGCGTTTGCTGCGAACATCTCACAAATGACCGCTCGTTAGTGCAAAAGTCATACGTTGGCGTGCAACGTTTTCAACAAGCTTGTTTTCGAGCAATGCTGGGCCAACCCAAAAACACCTTTTCATCCCAACTGCGCGAGTGCCCGCATGCTTATTTGGCACCTTCCAAATTGATTGGAGACGGTCCAACAGCCCATGTTGAGTCACCGCGTCGTCACGACGCGATAGCGGTGACGACGACGTTTTTCATGTGAAAAGTTCGCTCGGTTCATGACCGAGTTCATCCCCAAAGAGGAATTGGAGAGGACAGAACGAGTCAACGATGGCAATTTGACACTCCGAATCGCCGCGTTTGTGTCCCAGTGCCTTCGGCTGTCCATACTCGGACATGAATATGCGGAAGGAGCCGCTGCTTCCCGATCGGCTCGGAGGAGTCGCCGCGCACGGCCCCGGCCACCGGTCACTCGGGTAACTTTTTTAATTGTTTGGCCACGTTTCAAAAGCCGCCGCCGCCGCCGGGGGGATTTTAGTCGCGTGTGTCCAGCAGGGACAGCGCTGAGGTGAAAATGGAGGCCCCGAAACACCCGCCGGCCTCCGC